AAAAAATCAATTTCCGATTCAGTTATTCGACGTCCACTTCGGCCTTCAGTGACGACAAACACGTCTTCAGCAGTTGGACCTCAGCCTAAGACAACAGATCCCAAGACAACAATAAACGCATTAATAAATCAAATCATAATTATTATAAGTTATAATTTATAACCAAATTACTCGATAGCAAACAAAATAACACACAAAACACTGCATACATTAAACGCTACTAAAAGCTATCAGCCCTTCGCACACACACATACCCGGGAATGTTTGAGCTCCAGTTCCGCCAATTCGACCAAATTCTTGCGAAACGCCGCCACTCTTCGGGTCTTAAAATCAGTCAATTCTACGACAAAAAACACAAAACAAACCATAAATACATTTCCATTGCTATTAAATCACCAAAAAACTCAATTCAAAACCTAAAACCCAAACAAAAAACACCTAAAAACACTTCCACTACATCCTACCCCTACACATCACTATCAAAACGCCTTATCCCTGTCCCCCCCCCCTCAATTCGTGTGGACAGTTACCTTGTTTGGCGAGTTTGGAGATGTTCTCGAACTTATCGCACGACTCGGTCTGTGTCTGTTCGGCCGCCGGCACCTCCTTATTCCTGGAGCGGGCCCTCTCGAGATTCCTATTGGCGTTCTCGTAGTTCGCTAAACACCGGAGCCGTCGGTATAGTAGTTCCTGTCCACGCAAAACAAAACACCAATCAATACACACACTCCCAATAAACACCAGTTCCCCATACCTTAGCGGCGGACGTGTCGCGCATGTAATACCGGAGCAAATCGGACAGTTTGAGGTCCTCATCCGAGGCTACCCGGCCCTCAGTCTTGCGCGCCTTCTCCAGACAATCGGCTACTTTGCCGTAAAAGGACTCCAAATCCGTCTGATCGAAGGTCGCCAACTGGATCAGCGCCGAAGACATCTTGATGTACGTGTCGGACACGTCTGCAATGGACACCACAAACACACAAACAGACAATTAAACCACTGATGGATACAATCGCTCTCAAATGGATGCCTACTTTTGTGGGAACGGGTCATACGGTCAGACTTATTGGTGGCGTCTTTGATGTGCGCGTAGTAGTCGTTGAGGAACAGCCGCTCCCTCTCGAAGAACTCATCCACGTCTTTCATGGTCGACGACAGCAGCACGTCATCGGCGGACGACTTGAAACTACTGAACATACCGGCGATCCTCTCCTTCTTGTTCTTACCCCTGACGCCCAACTGATCCATAAAACAGAGACAACACATTAATAACGCACACAAAACACACACTCCAGAGGAATGCCTTAACAATCAGATCCCTCGAGAGAGAGATCTCGACACTCACTTCGCTCTCGTACTCCAAGAATATGCGAAAATTTTGATCGTTTTTGAACTTCGGATGAATGGCCAGTCGCTGGAGGAACACCTCATGCATGGCCACCGTCTTCTTGAATGTGGCCAAGTATTCGGCCTCCAGTTCCTGTTTCATCTTCTGGAACTCCTCCTTAGTCATCGTCCCCTCCCCTTCGCCCAGCTTCTGGAGCTTCTCGCGCGAGGCGTCGAAGTCGGGTCTGGGAGGCGCCGGCGGTATCTAAGCGTCAATCAAATCAATTGATCCGTTAATTGGCTCAAGATGTCGATGGCAGGGATCTGTTTAATACTAACGATAAACCCGGCGTACAGTTCGTTGTCCACGAGACTCGTGTGAAGCCATATGAACTCCTCGTGCTGTCGGACCACTGAGAAGTCCTGCGATTTGAACTCTTCGAGCGTTGTCTACGTGAGAGATAATCAAGCAATTGGTGGTTATTAGTCACTATCACCAGCAGCTGATCCCACGGCTGCATACCTTGGTATGTATGGTGAACTTCACGCGATCTCTTTCGCTGAGTGCGTCCGATATGTCCACCACTAGCGAGGAATCGGCCAAATCGATGGTATCGGACCGGCTCTGGGGGTCGTAATGAGACAATCAGTGGTTACCATCGACTCGCGGATCAATTGATGGACACATACCTTGTTATTGACGGCATTATTATCCGCGTGAGTGGTCTGTCTGGCAGTGGTTTGCGCCGAGTCTTCACTCCCCTCGTGAAGCGTTAACATTGTCTCCGGAGGTGATAATCACCGCTCAAGACTCGCTCCCAAACACCGGCGACAATAGTATATCACAAAAATCAGTGGTAATAGTCTTCGGGGTGATAATCACAACACAAATGGCAAGCAATGGTGTAATTAATTGACAACTTTTTTGTGGCTAAATATATGACATACGAAAAGGTGTACAAAAATTTCGTGCCGTTTATTATCCACACAATTAGCCGGCGATTGAATGGTTAGTATATATCGTATGGAAACTAATGCTAATTATAATGACAATTAGTGAGCAAATGAATGGTTAGTATATTATTAGTAGTTTTCCGGGCATTCAGTGTGTGTTTCGCACAGCGATTGACATAACATTTTGCATTGTATTTGAGTTTTTCAAAACACACCCATCGAGTGGCGGTGTCTAACAGTAAAGTCTATAACGCTATTGCGATCGCAGTGCCAATTGTCCCCCAATTATACACACAGTGTATTTGTATTGCAATGCTATCCTATGCGACAATAATGTTTAAGTCAATGGCAATGGGTTTTTGGTTTGAATAGTGATTAATCACTTTTTATCTCATCATTACATCTAATTTATAGATTGTTTGTTTGGTATTTAATGTAATGTATAGTATCTGAAAGCGATTTATCA